GCTCCTGACACCAGTGTGACGGCGCGTTGGGGGTTCCCCGTCTCCTGCACCCCGAAATGGCACAAACAGACTGCACCAGCCAGTGGAATTGAGGGTGGTTTATTGCTCCTCCAGCACAGCGCAGCACAGATGTAATCTGGTTACAGGAACTGGGCTAGGATGCCTCAGGCCCCCTTGAGATGGGGGAGACTGGGCCCCTAAACTCCAGCCCCTTCCCCTAGGCTCTCCTCCATGCCCTCCGACAGCCAGCAACCAACTCCCTAACTTCCAGCCCTGCCCCCCAGCCAAGGCAGCATTCCACCTTCCTTTGTTCCTCTCCATGGGGGGTGTCTGGCCACTGGTTTGCATAGTGACTCATCCTGTTTTGCTGGGTCGTGGTACCCACGGCAGCCAGTGGGGGTTCCCCCAGAGCCAGCAGCATAGAAACCAGCCAGGTACCCCCACTACGTCACACCACACTCAAGTGTCTAAATGGAGTTGCTGTTTAAAGGTTCACAGGAGGCATCAGTGGCTGTTTAATGCTTTTGCCAACCAGAAGGAAAAGAACATAAGAACGGCCACACTGGGTCAGACCAAAGGTCCATCCAGCCCAGTATCCTGTCTGCCGACAGTGGCCAGTGCCAGGTGCTCCAGATGGAGTGAATCGAACAGGTAATGCTCAAGCCATCCCTCTCCTGCCATCCATCTCCACCCTCTGACAAACAGAGGCTGGAGACACCATTCCTTACCCAGCCTGGCTAATAGCCATTGATGGACCTAACCTCCATGCATTTATCTAGTTCTCTTTTAAGCCCTGTTCTAGTCCTAGCCTTCACAACCTCCTCAGGCAAGGAGTTCCACAGATTTACTGTGCGCTGTGAAGAAGAACTTCCTTTTATTTGTTTTAAACCTGCTGCCCATTAATTTCATTTGGTGGCCCGTAGTTCTTATGTTTTGGGAACAAGTAAATAACTTTTCCTTATTCATTTTCTTCACACCACTCATGATTTTATATACCTCTATCATATCCCCCCTTAGACTTCTCTTTTCCAAGCTGAAAAGTCCCAGTCTCTTTAATCTCTCCTCATATGGGACCTGTTTCAACCCCCTAATCATTTTAGTTGCCCTTCTCTGAACTTTTTCTAATGCCAGTATATCTTTTCTGAGATGAGGAGGCCACATCTGTACGCAGTATTCAAGATGTGGGAATACCATGGATTTATATAAGGGCAATAAGATATTCTCCATCTTATTTTCTATCCCTTTTTTAATGATTCCTAACATCCTGTTTGCTTTTTTGACTGCTGCCGCACACTGCTTGGACGTCTTCAGAGAGCTATCCACGATGACTCCAAGATCTCTTTCCTGACTAGTTGCAGCTAAATTAGCCCCCATCATATTATATGTATAGTTGGGGTTATTTTTTCCATTGTGCATTACTTTACATTTATCCACATTAAATTTCATTTGCCATTTTGTTGCCCAATCACTTAATTTTGTGAGATCTTTTTGAAGTTCTTCACAGTCTGCTTTGGTCTTAACTATCTTGAGCAGTTTAGTATCATCTGCAAACTTTGCCACCTCACTGTTTACCCCTTTCTCCAGATCATTTATGAATAAGTTGAATAGGACTGGTCCTAGGACTGACCCTTGGGGAACACCACTAGTTACCCCTCTCCATTCTGAAAATTTACCATTTATTCCTACCCTTTGTTTCCTGTCTTTTAACCATTTCTCAGTCCATGAAAGGATCTTCCCTTTTATCCCATGACAACTTTGGTGAGGAACCTTATCAAAGGATTTCTGAAAATCTAAGTACATTATATGTACTGGATCCCCCTTGTCCACATGTTTGTTGACCCCTTGAAAGAGGCTATAAATGCTTAGTTGACACACGTGTTTGACAAGGTTTCCTACCTCCATGCACATCTGGTAGAGGACAAGGCATGCTGTGTGGTTAAAGAGTCGGTTCCTCTTCCAGTTGAAGTCTACAATGCCATCCTCGTGTTCATGGGTCACTGCATTGAAAAGGAGGTCACTGAATCAGAGAGATGGTACAAAGCCAGACTGAGGTGGCTAGACAGGGAAGGAAATGGGGCAATGGAAAGCTCATATAGTTTGAGTAACTCTTCCAACTCTGCAGAATGACCATGGCAAAGGAAAAAAGTCACACATCCCTAGCAATGTTTGCATATTACATAAAAGCATCGCCCTCGTTCATATTTTTCAGTAAAGCCGTGTTTTGTTTTGTTTTCTAAAGTTCTGTCAGACTCAGAGCCCTGCACTAATGTTCCAGAACATACCTTTAATTTTATAGAAGGCCTCCGGAACAAAGGCCTGGATGGCCTTAAACCTTTCTACCACAAATCCTAGAGTTGGGAATTGACAGCTACCATAGCTGATCAATTGCTCTGCTAGAACTTCTGGGAAAAGCTTCTGGAGTCTGAGGGTCTGGAATCTGGTGAAGGCAGCACCTGGAAGAAAACAAAAAGGGATACTAATGTTGAGAAAAAAATTGTAAATAGTAATCCCAGTACCTGTGGACTTGGTTGCTGACTAACATGAAATGCAGAGGCCCAGCAAACGTCACAGGAATAGTTAAGAACCTAACAGCTCCTTCAAAGAGCAACTATTTTAATGGAAACAACTGAGTGAAGACATGATCCATTTGTCTCAGAACTATATGTCCTACCCCAGAAACCACTATTTGCATTTTTGTCTAGGGTCACAGGGATGGGCAAGCTATGATTTTGAACCACCCGCATCACCTTCTGGGCTTTGGAAGAATACACAATCTGAGGTGGATGTCAGTTTTTTACCCTGAAACTTACAATGTCGACTAAAGGAGTTTAGATATTGTTAATGTGAGCTATGTATTGATAGCAAAACAATGAACACTCCTGATCAACAACTTGCCAGTGTAATTTTTCAGAATCCTTTTAAATTGCTCCTTTAAGAGCAGCAAAAAACACAGAGAGCCATACCCCACCCTTGCTTCATACCTATCCTGAGGTCCAGCTCCTGTCTGACATCCACAGCATCGCTAGTGTTCTGATCAGGTTGGACGAGGTTCTCACAGGCTGCTCTTACGGCACGAGGAGTGATCTCAGAAAAGCGGGCTCGGAACACCTGAAGACTTGGCTTCACTGTCAACCAGAAACAGGGATCAAACATGATTTACAACCCAATGGCAGAGACTGAATACTCAGTGATTGCCTGTAAAAGAATCAGTAGTAGCCAGCTTAAGCTTTCCAGGTGACCCCATTCAAGAATCCAAATCCGGAATCCAAAAATAAAGCCCTTTTCAGACCACTGAAGCTTTCTAATGTCCTAGTAAGTTTCACTGATTTCCCTCTTATAACTCTAGTAAAACCACATCTAGTAAAACCACATCTTAGATGCGGCTGAGTTTGGAAGCAGAGAGAGCAGGGGACACTGCCCCCCTAGTCTTTTAAAAGAAGAATGAACAGTTCTTCCCTGTTCATGTTTTTGTTTCTTCAACAGGGAAGAGTGGGCAGGTCTAAGACAAACATGCTGAGCACATTCTGTCAGGAAGGACAGACAGGGAAAAAAGGGAGGAGGGGTTGCCTTGTATATTAAAAATGTACACACTTGGACTGAAGTGGAGATGAACGTAGGAGATAGCTGTGTAGAGAGTCTCTGGGTTAAGCTAAAAGGGGTAAAAAACGAGGGTGATATCATGCTAGGAGTCTACTACAGGCCACCTAGCCAGGTGGAAGAGGTGGATGAGGCCTTTTTTAAACAATTAACAAAACTATCCAAAGCCCAAGATTTGGTGGTGATGGGGGACTTCAACTATCCAGACATATGTTGGGAAACTAACACAGCGAGGCACAGGCTATCCAATAAGTTTCTGGACTGCATTGGAGACAACTTTCTGTTTCAGAAGGTTGAAAAAGCTACCAGAGGAGAAGCTGTTCTGGATTTGGTTTTAACAAATAGGGAGGAACTAGTTGAGAACTTGAAAGTGGAAGACAGTATAGGGGACAGTGATCATGAAATAATAGAGTTCATGATCTTAAGGAAAGGTAGAAGGGAGACCAGCACAATTGAGGTTATGGATTTCAGGAAGGCAGATTTTGATAAGCTCAGAGAACTTGTAGGTAAGGTCCCATGGGAAGCAAGACTGAAGGGAAAAACAACTGAGGAGAGTTGGAAGTATTTCAAAGGGACGTTGTTAAGGGCCCAAAAGCAAACAATTCCGCTGTGTAGGAAAGATAGAAAATATGGCAAAAGACCAGCTTGGCTTAACAAGGAGATCTTGCATGATCTCAAAATAAAAAAGGAGTCATATAAAAAATGGAAACTAGGACAACTAACAAAGGATGAATATAGGCAAGCAACACGGGAATGCAGGGGCAAGATTAGAAAGGCAAAGGCACAAAATGAGATCAAACTAGCTACAGGCATAAAGGGAAACAAGAAGACCTTTTATAAATACATTAAAAGCAAGAGGAAGACCAAGGACAGGGTAGGCCCACTGCTTAGTGAGGAGGGAGAAGCAGTAACAGGGAACTTGGAAATGGCGGAGATGCTCAATGACTTCTTTGTTTCGGTCTTCACCGAGAAGTCTGGAGGTGTGCCTAACGTAGTGAATACAAGCAGAGAGAGGGTAAGTTTAGAAGATAGGATACACAAAGAACAAGTTAAAAATCACTTAGGAAAGTTAGATGTCAGCAAGTCACCAGGTCCTGATGAAATGCATCCCAGGATACTCAAGGAGCTGATAGAGGAGGTATCTGAGCCTTTAGCTATGATCTTTGAAAAATCATGGCAGACAGGGGAGATTCCAGAAGACTGGAAAAGGGCAAATATTGTGCCCATCTATAAAAAGGGGAATAAGAACAACCCAGGAAATTATAGACCGGTCAGTTTAACGTCTGTCCCAGGGAAGATAATGGAGCAGGTAATTAAGGAAATCATATGCAAACACTTGGAAGGTAATAAAGTGATAGGGAATAGCCAGCATGGGTTTGTGAAGAACAAGTCATGCCAAACTAATCTGATAGCTTTCTTTGATAAGATAACGAGCCTTGTGGATAAGGGAGAAGCGGTGGATGTCATATACCTAGACTTTAGTAAGGCATTTGATACGGTCTCGCATGATATTCTTATTGATAAACTAGGCAAATATAACTTAGATAGGGCCACGATAAGGTGGGTGCATAATTGGCTGGATAACCGTAGTCAGAGAGTTGTTGTTAACGGTTCTAAATCCTGCTGGAAAGGGATAACAAGTGGAGTTCCTCAAGGGTCTGTTTTGGGACCCGTACTGTTCAATATCTTCATCAATGATGTAGATATTGGGATAGAGAGTACTCTTATTAAGTTTGCAGATGATACCAAACTGGGTGGGGTTGCAACTTCTTTGGAGGATAGGGACATAATTCAAAATGACCTTAGCAAGTTAGAGAAATGGTCGGAGGTAAACAGGATGAGGTTTAATAAGGAGAAATGCAGAGTGCTCCACTTAGGAAGGAACAATCAGTTCCATACATACAAGATGGGAAGCGACTGTCTAGGAAGGAGCATGGCGGAAAGGGATCTAGGGGTCATAGTGGACCACAAGTTGAATATGAGTCAACAGTGTGATGCTGTTGCCAAAAAAGCAAATATGATTCTAGGTTGTATCAACAGGTGTGTTGTAAGCAAAACTCGTGAAGTCATTCTGCCGCTCTATTCTGCACTAGTTAGGCCTCAGCTGGAGTACTGTGTCCAGTTCTGGGCGCCACATTTCAAGAAAGATGTGGAGAAATTGGAAAGGGTACAGAGAAGAGTGACAAGAATGATTAAAGGTCTAGAGAGCATGACCTATGAAGCCAGGCTTCATGAACTGGGCTTGTTTAGTTTGGAAAAAAGAAGATTAAGGGGGGACATGATAGTGGTTTTCAAATATCTAAAAGGGTGTCACAAGGAGGAAGGAGAAAATTTGTTCCTCTTGGTTTCTGAGGACAGGACATGGAGTAATGGGCTTAAAGTGCAGCAGGGGAGGTTTAGATTGGACATTAGGAAAACATTCCTAACTGTCAGGGTGGTCAAATATTGGAATAAATTGCCAAGGGAGGTGGTGGAATCTCCCTCTCTGGAGATATTTAAGAACAGGTTAGATAGACATCTGTCAGGGATGGTGTAGACGGAGCTTGATCCTGCCTTGAGGGCGGGGGGCTGGACTCGATGACCTCTCGAGGTCCCTTCCAGTCCTATTATTCTATGATTCTATGATTCTAGTATGTTTGGGCCATTTTTATATCTTTGCAATCAAAAGGATCTGGAAGATGGTTTCCAAAGACACTGTTCTGCACTCACAAGTGCAGTGAGCAGCTCGCAGCTCCTAAAACTGGCCCTTGCTAGAGGCCTAAAGTTTTGATAACGTAACTGGGAAAGTGCTGACAAAGCCTCTAGCAGTGGGAGAGAGAGACAGAGGGAGAAGTTCGGTTACTTGTTTGGAGAGAGCAGAAATCCAGTTACTCCTGGTGGGTCATCTTATTCTGACTACAATCACACTCCCCATCTCATCCCCTGCATTTAGTGAGAAGTGAACCGACCACATGACAAGTAAGCAGGTCTAGATGGAATTTAACCATATAGGTAGAAAGATGTGTTTATAATAAGTGGAGGAAAATCTGTGTTCACTTCTGATTCCCACCAGTTTCACAGAAGACCTCTTACACCTAGACTGCAAGTTCTGGTCAACTTAAACTGTACATTTTGGCTATGGCAGCAATAAATACATTAAACCACGCCCCCTCCTCCCTAGTCATTTTAACTCTGTCCATACCAGCTGGGCTGCCTCTATCCACCAAGACTCCATTGAAATCAATGGACTGTAAACGTAACCCTGCTGCTAGTGACATGTTACATTAAACATCCCCGGTGCATTCAACAGCAGAGCCAGTGTGTTCTACTTGGACACAGTGCAAACATTCCACAGCAGCCTTGAGGGTAACACTGCTGAACAAGATAGCTTTTTAGTAACCATTGTAAAGAAATTCAGTTCCGCAGAAAAACCTCCACCCACCAGCTTTGCAAACATGGATTATCTCAAAACCAATGTTCTCTCCTTCTCGATCACAGTCGGTCCAGATCACCAGAGCCTGGCACTGCCGGACTTCTCGTTCTAGGGTTTTCTGAGAGGAGAAAACGACACAGTATGAGACACAGCAAGTCACTTGTATGCCATCTAATTTGGTCCAGGAGTGAATCACCAACAGCAATGTCAACAATCTAACTTGATCTTGAAATGGAACATGTATCCACAGCAACAAATGTATTATACAGGTTGAACCTCTCTAATACGGCACCCTCGGAACCTGACCAGTGTTGAACCAGAGAAGTCCAGTCTTGTCCAGCAGCATTACCAACACTTCCACTGCTTACTGGGCTCTTAGAAGATATTTAGGGGTGAATTAGAGCTAAACAACAGCACAGAACCAGGACTGGGGGCTATAAACAAACTTTATGGGACTGTGGGAAACTTGGCCACACCCATGATAAGCAGCTATCCAGCTAACTAAAAGCATGCCAGACTATGGATGTTGCCTGACCAGAGAAGTGCAGGACTAGAGAGGTTTAGCCTGTAGTAAACTGTTCTGATTTCCATTCTGTTGCATGCAACATATCCCATTCTTCTAAGTTTTTGACAGAATACTGTTACTGTACTTTACTTATTTAGCCTTACTAAAAACAGAGGTGTATGTGCACATTAGACCACCATTTGTGTGGTTTCTGTACTTTTTCTTCTCAGTTGTGCACACATCTGAAATTAACAGCATCGGTTGCACTGCAAATTTTCAGCTAAAAAATAATTTTATTCATACGAAATATGCCAAAGAGAGTAGGACCTCATTAATTTTCACTAAGCTAATTAGGTGCATGTTCAGGTATTATATCATTTCCTGGTTATAAAGGGGTGCTGGATTAACACTGTAGGAGAGCTCCCTATGACCACTTATACGGAAAGATTAGTCTCTCGTGAGACTAGTCAGTGAGCAAAGTTTTTGATGACTACAGTAAATACTCACTTATCCGCATCCATTTTCTATACAAAGTCATCTAAGGCTGGATTATGTCCCTTAATATATTTTATTAAACTCAAAACTTTCCTATGTAATCTAGATGGAATTGTGGCCATTAATATATTGGTTCCAATAAGGGAACTTAACTTTAAATCAGTCAGTCCTTTGATCTGGCTGCCTAATTGAGCATAGGCTAGGAAACTAAGTTCAAAGGCAGTCAGCATGTATGGACTAAAGAATGTGAGTAAAAATATTTATGCTGGCTACAATCCCAGAGAGCTAAAGGTTATGGACAGAGGTCCAGTCCTCTCTCTCTGTCTGCACCAATATTTGTGGAACCCATCACTAATATTTGAGTATCAGGGTGCCTTTCAAAAGTACATACCTTAATATCTACAAAGTTTTCAGGGCAGTATTTCTCAATTTCAGCTTCAAAGAGTGCAAGTGGGTTGCAGCTATGCCTGAGGAAGAGATGATGAACAGCAGGACTTAATGTACAAAAGAAACCAAAACATTCACAAGAGCTTACCTAGTACTTTCTATTTCTTATTGGTGTGCTGCTGAACTGAATTGCCAGATGATGGTTATAGTGGCAGCATTACTATCCTGGTCTTACATAATTTCACCTGAGTTAGATTTATCCAATAGCAGGGATGTAAAGTCCTATTTAAAAAGTGAACTGGTTAAACGTTATGTTTAACAGCTTAACCAGGATCCCGAAGGCATGGGTCCAGCCCCGTAGGAGTGCATGGCGACCCCAACTGGGCTGGAGCACCTGAGATGCGGTGGCCCGGTAGCCGTTTAACTGGTTACCTGGTAAGCATCACCCGACAAGGGTAAGTCAGTCCCTATCCAATACCAACAAAGTTTTGCCAGAATAAATCCATTACCCTCCCTATTTGGTAAGACATGTTTTCAAGAAAGCAGGGTTTGCTATTTGGTCCTGAGTGCTCTCTCCTTGAACTGACAGAGATTGCTCAGACTTTGAATGAAAGCCAAAAAAAACCTGGCTTATATAACCTCAGTGGTTCAAGTCTTCAAAGGAAGGGATCTTGTTTTTTTTCCTTGTCACAGCATTAACAGGAATTCCACTCCTGTAAAATCAACAGATCATCTTCTGAGGAACTGCAGATGCTGCTGCGGAGGTTAAATCATCTGAACCCTTCTACACTCATGAATGGTAGCAAAGAATTTGGGAGCTATACTTAAAGAAAAGTTCCCTCTGTTTTCAGAAATACAAAATGGAGCTGGAGGATTCCAATGAGTCACACCTTTTAGGAAAACACTTGGCTAAGTAAAGAGCACTCTAATCAACTTTTGGAATTTGATTTATTTTCTTTGATCTATTTTTTAAACTGTTTTACAGTACCGTCAGCCCTTTCAAGGAAGAAGAGGCTAAAATATTCTAACAAATGGCCACTTATAACTTACCTGTTCCTATGTTACTCACCATGGCCACTGGGAATTCACACTGACCACACGGATAGAACTCAAATCCTCCTGCTCCAAAAGAACAGGCCCTAATATTTGAACTAAAGATCTATCTTCTTTAGCTGTCAAGGGCACACAGCCTCCGACACACAGCTCTGATTCCATCTAACTGAGGACAATGCTACACACACATTAGCCAGTTCATTAATTGTTGTAAATTATGTTTCACAGGCTGACCTTCAAAGGCTTATTTCACTGCACATCTCAGCAGAAAACAAAGATGACAAGCAGCATGTCATCAGCTCTCAGGTACTAACCATTTGCGAAATGGCATCTTAAAGTCATGGGCCAGCAAATGTCCAGAAACAGATGTCATCGCCACAGTAACATTCTGCAGGAAACCGATTGAGATCATTAGTCTTAAATGATTGCTTCTGTTTTGCTAAAGTATGCATACTTTGGTGCCCCGACTACAAGACACATTGCTCTCATTTGATGGATCAGATCCATCAGTTTCTAATCAACAATATTTATCTTCTGTTGTCATAGTAACAGTTCCCCCTTCCAGCCACAGCTGAGCATTGTACACATGCTATCCTACCTAATATGGGAATTCTGAATGTGAGTAATGAGTAGGAAAATATCTACTTGACTTAATGATGCTTAACACGTATGCAGAGCTTTTCATCTCTGGATCTCAAAATGCTATGTTGTCTATGGGAAAACCATGGCAAAGAGATGTAAAGTGACTTCAAGCCACCCTGGAGGTCAGTGGCAGAGCCAGAAACAGAAGTCATATCTCCTAACTCTTAATCCAGTGCCTAAACCACAGAACTATACTGTCTTGTAGGAGATAAGGGCAGCACAGCACTCACTGTGGAAAAGCTATTCCCCCTATGTGTTCTAATGAAAACCTTAGATCTCAATTTCACAATAATTTGGTTATTCTTCATACACACATTCTTTGCACAGTCTGAATATACAATATTGTACTATTTTGATTAACCAGACAGCATTTTGTGCGTTCCCTGAACCAAATGATTATATTGCTTTATGAAAAAAAGATGGAACCTACCTGGCCAAACATATGACAGTCATATTCATAAATCTTGTTGAACTTGGAAAACCCTTCTCTCTAAGTTAAAAAAGAGATGTTTAAAAAACTGCTGTTCTCCCAACCAATGTACATCATAAACAACAGCTATCGCAGAAACTACGGAATAGGTGGTAAATGAAAAAACAGGCTGCTGTCATTCACGTGTCCCATTTTTCAGTGAAATCAAATAAGATACAGAAGAAACGCAGGCTGAATGGAAATGGCATTGGCCATTTATAGAAACACCACACTTAAATGGTGTTTTGCAGTGTCAGAGCACTGTGCAGCACACCTGAGAGGCAGGGCAAGAGTTACCTCCTTCTTACAGCTGGGAAAACTGGTGCAAGGAGATTGCATTGAACAAGTAGCCAGTGACACAGTTGAGATTTAATTCTTTGGATGAAGACTGAAAAATACTCCAAGTTACCAATGAACAACGATCAGCACACACTGTTCAGAGAGTAATTTCCACTTGTCAAGGTTTGTAGACGTTTCTAGATGGGCCCAAACATTTCACACTATCCTCTTTGGAAGCACGTAGTTATCTAGATTGATTCAGACTATCAATTTTCCAGTAATCAATTTTTTTTCTTCTATCACATCTTTCAACCTAGAAGCTACCTTCACTTTTATAAAAATGAAGCCTCCAAGCACCCTGACTAAAGGTATTAGACCTATTTTACATAAGCAGGGCTCACCAAGCGGCGGTGAGCCTTGCGTAACCGTGCGCTGCGCATGCACTGACCGCACTGCACGGCCGCACCGGGCTAAAATCTACTCACCACAGGCAAATAGATTACATTAATTGTCAAGCCCTGTACATAAGGATAGATTGAGGGGCTGAGAGGTAACGTGAATCGACCAAGGTCACAGAACAATCCATGGCAGAACAGGAACAGACCCCTGAGTTCTGTGCTCTCGCCATTAAAACCTATTCACGATGTTAAAAACTCCAGGCTCTGCAATTTGATGAGAAGCAGGACAAGCAGCAGCATTTTTGACCTGATAAATCAACTGCATTACAAGACACCTCACTTAACCCACCACAGCTCATCTTCAGTATGAATCTGTTTGGGAAAGGCCAGAGTGTAGAATATCATAAGCTGTTGCATGTAAGGATTAGAGATGTAAAACTTTAAATTTAACTGATTACATTGGGGTAGGCGGCAGAGGGGACCATTCCAGCCCCTGCATGCCATGGCCAGGATGGAGCAGCTGCTCCGGTCTGGCTGCTTCTAACCCCATGCAGGCTGGGAGCTGGCAGTCCTTCCCCCGATTTGCCCTCCCTTGCTTCCAGCCGCCCCTTCCCTCAAGGCTGCTGACTCCCCTTAGCCGGAGGCAGAGGGCTGCTCACAGGTAACCATTAACAGTTACCCAGTAAGCAGCAACTATTAAGAGTGCTGCTTACTGGGTAACCGGTGACCTGGTCACATTCCTAGTAAGGACTGAAATGTTCTGCAGAACAGCCCAGGGTTCTAACCAAAAGGGGTGCTCAGGGTCAGGACTGATTTGTACTGGTACTGAAACAAACGTGGATACAATGAACACATTTCCTGGCTCTAGTGGGAACTCATACAGAAGGTGTTAGCCTTTCATTTTAGTCTGATCACCTAAAGTAATATCTGCTTTAAGCAGTCTCAGTCGTATTTGGATGCTGTAAGGCAGCCCCACTATATAATCTCTATTTTAAGACCGAATGAACCAAACCAGAACCAACGGAATGATTGGCAAGTGCCCCTTAACAAGCTGTTTATGTAGCTGGAGAAACAACACCCAATTAGAAAGAAGTGACCCAAAAAGAAACCGATGCTGTTACTCACTGACCCGTCTCATTCTGCTGTTGGAGAGAACATCTGCAATTCCTCTGGCAGCATCATTTTTCTCTGCCACACAGAGGACCTTCTGGATCTTTCGGAATGTCATATTCTCTGCAGCCTGGGAAAAGAGACTCCAGGACTGAGACAACAACCGGATCCCACAGCGGGCAAAAAGCTTGGCCTGAAAGTTCATTCTGAGAGCTGATGGCAGCTCCCACCTTGCCAAGACATGTTGCCGTTTCCTCACGTCGTGGCCACTTGCCCCCCGTCAGACATTCAATGGGTATCAGTAAAAGCAAAGGATCCCACCCCCAGGAGGCGCTCTCCTATGGTAAGCAGCCACGCTAACGTAGCCCTAGCAGGGTTCTGACGGGGCAATAGTTAGAGGCACTCAGCTTCCCCACTGACACCTGCCAGCAGCTCACTGTAAATTCCACCACACACGTTTTAAAAGTTAAAGCAGGTGCTAATTCCAGATGTACATCTGAGCTATAAGAGATTTCCTCTCCCTTTCCCAGTAACTGCACAGTATTTACCCCATCACCCATGTCCTTCCCCCGCTAGATTCTGCAGCCTGAACCCTCCCCTGCCTCAGCCCAATGGCAGCGGCTCCCCCTCCTCTCCTAGCCCCCCCAAGCCCCATGGCAGGGGCTCCCCCTCCT